CCATTTATTTTTATTTATCTATTTATTTATTTGTTTATTTATTTTTTTTATGGTTGAACTAGTTGAACTTTTGTCTTTTCTCAGCCAGACTAACTATGTCATCTAATCTAAGTGCCAACAGACTATGTGAATCCGGAGGCGAGAGCTATTAACTGGGCAGCAAGATGATATTTGGAGAAGTGTGGAAAGGTTAGGCCTCCTTGATTCCGGGGGGCATACAGGACAGATCTAGAGATTCTGTGATGTTTATAGTTCCAGAAAAAGTCTAATAAGTTGTTTTGAAAGATCATAAAGTGAGGATCTGGTTCACTTTCAATAAAAAACATAAAACATTTATTAAATAGATAGTCACAAAGCTTTTTTCCAGTAATTTAAAAAACATTGTTTTCATTAAACACCTTTGAGAAATAGGACGTCGGTTCTACCCCTTGTCTCCCACATGTAATGGGGGGGGGGGGGGGACTGAGGCATTCGGAGTCTTCACAGATCTTCCGCAGGATGTCCGGCTTCCTCAGGACCTCAGATCTCAGAGATATAGATACAGTAATCACTAAAATTATATCAAAAAAAGGTATTTTTGAAAGTTAACCAAAACATTGAATAAAGTAGGAACCCGGTACTCCTCATTAAGTATCTAATCCCGAAGAAAGGAAGAAAGAGAGAAAGATAAATAAATGATAAATATATGAAATATTTGCCCATATGTACCTCGTACAGTCAGGATTCAATAGCACATAAAAAGAAACATTGTATTTGTGGGTCAATGGGAATCCTTGTCCTGGAATGTCTTGCCGGCCCATGGAAAGGCCACCACCGGGGAGATATAGACAACTGAGAAAAAAGAGAAAAAGGGGAAGTATATATCTTGTGTATTGTGCAGCGAGTCCATACAATATCTCCCAATGTCGGCACACTATAGTTATTATTTTAGAAACAAACATTGAAGAACGCCATTGGACGTTGTCTGTGACGCGCGGCATCGTTATTTTAAGTTTCATTTTTTTAGTTCAGCAAAAGAACTTCCTCGCCCCTGGAATGCGGCTTTGTGCTTTGGAGATGGACTAATGCAGGCCATAGGCGGGTTGAAAATCAGTAAATTTTCGCACCGTTAGTGGGTTAATTGGTCGGCCGTTTTTTGGGGTTTTGGCACATTTTTTTTTATCGATAAAGTTGGAAAATTCGTGGTCGATTTTGGTCGATTTTGACCGATTTTCCCCGGTAATAATGGACAAATCGGCCGATCGTTTTACCAATAAAAAATCTGCGCATGAGCCGTGACCTGGAAAATGAACAAAAAGAAGGAGAAAAAGAAAAAGAAGAAGTAGAAGAAGAAGAAAAAGAAGAAGAAAAAGAAAAGAATAAGAAGAGGAAGAAAAATAAGAAGAAGAGGAAGAAAAAGAAGAAGAAAAAGAAGAAGAAGAGGAAGAAAAAGAAGAAGAAAAAGAAGAAGAAAAAGAAAAGGAGAAGTACAAGAAGAAGAAAAAGAAAAAGAAGAATTCCAGTCTGCTATTATATTTGACATGGAAAAAGTCTTGTGGTCTCAACAATGTATCTATTTGTACCCGAATAAAAATATCTGCATCTGAAATGGATACAAATGGATACATTGTTGCAACCGCAAGACTTTTTCATGTCAAATATAATAGCGGAGCTCTCTGCAGAGACAGAAGTAATTAAATGCCGGCCGTAGACGGGACGAAAATCGGCCGATTGTTTTACCGTTGGTGGTAACGTTGGCCGATCGAACTACCAATTTTTTTTTTTTTTTTAAATAAAAAATGGCCGGTTTTCGACCCGTCTATGGCCTGTATTTGCAGTAGATTTTAGTCGTATCATCCTGATTTTTCCAACGTTTAATAATAGTCTATCGCCGCTGCACATAAAATCATTGTCTTTGAGAAAACCTTATAAAAACGTTTTGCTTTCATGGAAGTGAACCATATTGGGCTGCTGCTGTATGTCAGCCAATGAACAATGTAGCAGTACACTTAGTTGTCATACATGACATTTTATATGAAGCCACAATAAGGTGTCATTGGTGCCGTCCCCCAGAATCCTCTTGTTCTGTAAAGACATGTACAGCTGTCATTGGAAGGATTTTCATTTTGTATTTTCAAAGCTGCCCTTTAAGTCGCCCGAAAAGACCTTCTCCCCATTGAACGATCATTTTCATACCTTGTTTGTGTATTGGTACTTGTGACCCCCGACCACCACCCGGCCCACCCTGCTCTCTGTCTGAGGACACCTCGCCCAGGAGCGGACTGACCATTGGGAAACTGGGGCACTGCCCGAGGGCCCGGGGTCAGTAGGGGGCCCCATGAGATGCCCCTGGTACCTTTTTCATAGGCTTTTTTGAGTTTGGCAGGACACAGGGGCCCCATGATCCCCTATTGCCCGGGGGCCCCATGAGTTGTCAGTCCGCCCCTGACCTCACCTATTAACTTAGAGAATGGCCATTGATGATTTCTAAGATTTGGTTCATATTGATGTCAATGGGGTTTGGATTCAGTATCTGAACTCTGATAATGTTCTCTGGGTCAAACTAAAACCCGGCTACGGTCGGCTCATCCCTAGTTACTGGTTGCTGGGATGCCTGAGAACACTTGTTCCCTAACAACCAGCAATCCTGGGGGAGGGGTGCTGTCATATCTAGTAGATGTACTATTATGGCTGCTAAATGTTTGACTGCCTCTGGCAACTGGAGATTTGACCCAACATTCGTTTAGTTCGACCGTTTACTGGACCTCCAAGCTAGAAGAAGTTGGTACGGTCCCTTACATATTTTTATGGTTTTGTTTGTTTTTTTTTTTCTGTAAAATTTTCCTAACATGAAAAATAAATACACTATGGTGTCTATTTATAGATATTGTCACACAAGATTCACACACGTTTTACCCAATATTTACACATTTTTCTAATTGAATTTGATTGTAAAAATATGTAAATCCTGCCTGGAAGTTGCACGACTTTTGTGTGAAAACATTTATAAATGACAAGATTAAAGGAAAAAAAACAAACAAAAAAACAAACAAAAAAAAAAAACTTTGTACCATCTGTGTAAAGGTTCCTTTCAACTTGCTATTCAGATATTTTTTTTTCATTGTCTAACAAAAGTAAAAATCCCCCACAAAAGAATACAGTACATTAAAAAACAAGCAAAAGCATTTGGGTATTTATTATTTTTTTGCTTTTTTCAATATTGTTTCTTCCATGTTCTGGTACATTTTATTATTATTTTTGAAGTTATTTAACCCCTCCCCCTCCAGAGGATCCCCCCCCCCCCTGACCAGGCCATTTCTTGCGTTACGGTGCTGCGTTATTTTAACTGACAATTGCGCAGTCATGCAACGCTGCACCCAAATGACATTTAAGTCTTTTTTTCCACAACTTTAGGCTTTCTTTCGGTGGTATTTGATCACCTGTGCGCTTTTTCTTTTTTGCGCTATAAAAAAAAAATACCGACAATTTTGAGAAAAAAAAAACAATATTTTTGACATTTTGCTATAAAACATGTTCAGTAAAAAAATGTAAAAAATAAAATGTTGTCATTAATTTAGGCCCAAATGTATTCTGCTCCGTGTCTTTGCTAAAAAAAATCCAAATATGTGTAAATTAATTGGTTTTACATGAAAGTTATAGAGTTTACAAATGGCGGTATGCATAACGGAATATTTTTTTAAAATTATTTTTACTAGTAATGGCGGTAATCATATAGTAATATAGCGGGACTGTGGCGGGCATTCTGACACAGGGGGGGGGGGGGGGGGGGGCTGACTTGGTGTCATTGATATCCCCAGTGACACCAATACAGTGATCAGTGCTAATAAAAAACACTGACACTGTACTAATGGTACTGGGAAAGAAGGAGTTAACATGTGGGGCGATCAAAGGGTTAACTGTGTGCTGCTTTACTATGTGCTGTGCTTGTGTTTTCACCGTAGGCACACTGCTTTGTATGGCTATGGTGTGCACAGCTATACAAAGCAGTGTGCCAGAGCTGACAAAGAGAACTGTTTTGTTTGCAAACAGTTCTCTTCCCCGTCGGAGATCCTCGGCAATCACCAGACGCCAGTGAGTAATGTCCGGCTGGTACCCGGTGATTGACAGTTATGGCCGCAAATGGCGGTGTGGGTTTGCCCCCTACCGGAAATGCAAAATCATGAATATATACACGATTTTGCAAACCCATGCCACCCTGTAGCTGTATTTCTGCTATAGGGCGTTCAAGAAGCAGTTAACCACTTCCAGTCCGGACACTTCCACCCCCCTTCCAGTCCGGACACTTTCACCCCCCCTTCCAGTCCGGACACTTCCACCCCCCTTCCAGTCCGGACACTTTCACCCCCCTTCCAGTCCGGACACTTTCACCCCCCTTCCAGTCCGGACACTTTCACCCCCCTTCCAGTCCGGACACTTCCACCCCCCCCTTCCAGTCCGGACACTTTCAACCCCCCTTCCAGTCCGGACACTTCCACCCCCCTTCCAGTCCGGACACTTTCACCCCCCTTCCAGTCCAGACACTTTCACCCCCTTCCAGTCCGGACACTTTCACCCCCTTCCAGTCTGGACACTTTCACCCCCCTTTCCAGTCCGAACACTCCCCCCCCCTTCCAGTCTGGACACTTTCACCCCCCTTCCAGTCCGGACACTTTCACCCCCCTTCCAGTCCGGACACTTTCACCCCCTTCCAGTCCAGACACTTTCACCCCCCTTCCAGTCCGGACACTTTCACCCCCCTTCCTGTCCGGACACTTTCACCCCCTTCCAGTCCGGACACTTTCACCCCCTTCCAGTCTAGACACTTTCACCCCCTTCCAGTCTAGACACTTTCACCCCCTTCCAGTCCGGACACTTTCACCCCCTTCCAGTCCGGACACTTTCATCCCCTTCCAGTCCGGACACTTTCACCCCCCTTCCAGTCCAGACACTTCCCCCCCTTCCAGTCCGGACACTTTCACCCCCTTTAGTCCGGACACTTTCCCCCCCTTCCAGTCCGGACACTTTCCCCCCCTTCCAGTCCGGACACTTTCACCCCCTTCCAGTCCGGACACTTTCCCCCCTTCCAGTCCGGACACTTTAACCCCCCTTCCAGTCCGGACACTTTCACCCCCCTTCCAGTCCGGACACTTTCCCCTCCTTCCAGTCCAGACACTTTCACCCCCTTCCAGTCCGGACACTTTCACCCCCTTCCAGTCCGGACACTTTCACCCCCTTCCAGTCCGGACACTTTCCCCCCCTTCCAGTCCGGACACTTTCACCCCCTTCCAGTCCGGACACTTTCACCCCCTTCCAGTCCGGACACTTTCACCCCCTTCCAGCCCGGACACTTTCACCCCCTTATAGTCTGGACACTTTCACCCCTTCCAGTCCGGACACTTTCACCCCCTTCTTTTCCAGACCAATTTTCAGCTTTCAGCACTATCCCACTTTGAATGACAATTGCGCGGTCATGCAACACTGTACCCAGATGAATGTTTTAGCATTTTTTTGAGACTGATAAAACTTCATTTTGGTGGTATTTATTCATCGCTGGGATTTTTATTTTTTTTTGCTATATAAATGAAAAAGTCCAAAAACTTTGAAAAAAAAGTGTTTTTCTTATAAAATTTTGCAAATAAATAATATTTCATCATAAATCTTGGCCAACATGTATTCAGTTATCTTTTTAGTAAAAAAAAATAACCCAAATTAGTTTATAACCAAAAATTATCATTTTGAAAAAATTTTTTTTTACATTTTTATTTTATTTTTTATATTTTTATTAATTTTTTTTTTTCTTTTACATACCGTCACCCTAACAGTACAGTGTCATCATAGTGACACTGTACTACTTGGGGGGGGTGATGAAGATTTTTTTTTTTATACTGATTAAAAGCAATCATTTCTCCTTCTCTCTGGCTGCATTCCTGCAGCCAATGAGAAATACTGTGTGAGCTTTGATTGGTCACAGCTTGTGACATGGTACAAGGCAATTGTGAATGGCCCTGTACCATGTGACCTCTGTGATCATTCACAGATTTCACAAGTAGTAAGCAATGATGTCAGTGACATCTTGCTTACTACTCTGCATGTGATCACTAATTGGCCAATCAGTGATCACATGATCGGGACCTGCCGTACCTCGTACAGCTGTCCCGTACTATGATCGGTGTTCCATTATGTCTGGAGGACACAGCGGGCACCAGATCGCGGTGCTCCCAGGGAGCACGCACAGCTTGAAAATGCGGGTACCGTTTATGAACGGCAACCCCCCCTGGAGTGCCACCGTTCTGCCGTTTATAAACCTGGCCGGACGGGAAGTGGTTAATGATTTACCAATGTTATGATGGTGGTTGTTTCCTAGCAGAGTAAGTTTGTGGCCTGAAAAAAAACATTTTGAATTCTAAATGAAATGTTTGTGGGGAGGGGCAGCTTGGTTTGGGCAGTAAATACTCGGAGTCCAGTAGCCATAAAACTTAGAACTTGCATTGAACAGAATGCCAACGTTACGAACGACCTGGCCATTCCAGTCCCAAGTGGGACAGCTCTTTTCTAGGATAGTCCCTAGCCTGTCCCTCCTTGTCAGGAACCTTTCCCTACTGCTAGTTACTTTCTGTAACAAGCAGGGTCTCTCTCCCCACACTAGTCACATGCAAGAAGCATGCCAAACCCCCGGGGCCAGGGACTTAAATAGACCCAGCTAACCCAAGATGGCCACCGAGGGTGTAGTCAACAAGAATGTTACTTCACTGATGCAGGAAAGCATAGAGAAATGGTGTTGCCCTTGGACTTCCTCTCCAGACTGTGGTACCAATCTGATTGAGTGCCTCCTACAGTGGAGAAAACAGACTGCACCTGCCTACATGTTACCAAATTCTTGTGAACTAGTAGTGAAAACTAGGAGATGTTTCTCCAGTAGTTGGTGGAGTAATCTCTGTTGGGATAGGAGAAAATCTGTAAACGGGATGTCCAGTTGTTCTAGAAGTCACTTGTATTGGGCTTCATCCCAGGATGCCAAATCTGCCTGCAGGTGAGCACACCCCGCTTCCACCACTGGCTGGGCCTCAGAAATGCAGTGGTGGGGGATCGCATAGAAGTCAGCGAGAATGGCATGCCTGGGTAGTGCAATTGGTGTATAACCCAAGATGATGAACTTCACTGGTCCCCAGTGGACCTTGGATAACGTTTGGCCCACCAGCTACTGCCCTGGTGTCACTGTGTCCTTGCGGGATTCGACCTGACACTGGCTTCCCATAGTTCCCGGGGTGATCTCTGATGGGGAGGGACCAAACTACCTCTTGTAGGGGTGCTAATAATAACTTCTATTTAGAGGGCTTGTGTATCACCCCTACCTGTTTCAGTTGTTTTTTAATTGCCTCCCGTTCAAATGCCAGGAACACTCAGAGCCACACTGTTCACAAGCCGCAGCTATGGGCTTGTCTACCTGAGCACTCATTCTTGGTCAGCAGGTGGGGTACGTCTAGGTCTTTCAATACATTCATGCCCAGTGCAACAGACACTGCTGGGTTTACAGGGCCATGGGTCACCACCACTCCCACTCATTCCATTACCTGATCTTCAATTTCGATCTTCAGCCGGGTGATGCCTTCCACCAGAATAGGCAGGCTATTGGCTGCTCAGATGGAAAGCCAGCATGGATCTAGCTGTTCCTGTGTACAAATCTTTGTATGTACAAGTCATATTCCATAACGGTGAACTCTGATCCTGTATCAGTCAAGCATGGGACTTCCTGTCCGTTGACCAGGGTGGACACCACTGGTCTGGGACTTTGATGAGGCATCCATGGGCGTGTCCCTCTGCCATTGGAGACACTAGTATAAAGTCCTCCTCGGAGTCCCTGTGCAGCAGGTTCTGAATCCTCTGGGGTTGGGGAGAGTTTTTTTCTGGAAGAAGCTCTGTCTTGTTTTAAAGTGGCTACATCTTCAGCAAATTCCCTAATTATAGATTGCAGTGAAGGAGCTCAGGCTGGCACGGTTCATACTTTTTGGTCACTGCTAGTTACATCTGCTTCTGCTTGCTCTCCAGCAACCGCATCCTCCACTACCTCACAGGAAGTTGTTGTAGGCTGTGCTTTGACCTTCTTGTGTAATGATCTCTGCCGTGGACCAGGCTTCAGGTCTTTGATGAACTGATCCATCAACATGTAATCAGAGTAAGTTATGTCAGTGCGACCATGCATGTCCCACTTCTCTAGGCACCTCCAGATGTTCTGCATAGCCACTGTGCAATAGGTGATGTTCCCATCCTCCTGTTGTCTCTTGCTGAAAAACCTCCATCTTACCTCAGGCAATGGTGTCTTCTCCCCAAAGAGGTCCTCCAGATGTGACAAAATCTGTTCCACAGTGGCCTATTCCTCCTCTGGCAGAAACATCACCACCTCATGTGAATTCTTCTCTAAATCGTTATTAGCCAGCTCCACCACTGACCTGGCCGGGACCTAATATAGGCACTCTCCAGTCTCTTCTCTCATTTTGTTAACGGGATATTAAAGCCATTAAACTTAAGTATCAGGGTCAAGGCTGACCCTAGTGGAGCCATACTGTAGCCCAGTCCTCCTTCTACACCCGGTGCAAGGGACATATCCTGCCAGCTGCCACCAAGTGTGGGAAGGTGTGGCTTGGTTTGGGCAATAAATGCTCAGAGTCCAGTAGCAATAAAACTTTGAACTTGTATTGAACAGAATGCCAACGTTACAAACACGTTGATGGGAGGGTGCCACTAGGGAAATAACCCACAGTTCAATGCAGTCAGATGTGGCTGAGGAGAGATGCCGACAGCATTTGGTTCAGAAGGCGAAGTGCAGCCTGGCCACTCCAGTCCCAAAAAGGAAAGCTCTTTTCCAGGATAGCGAGTCCCTAGCCTGTCCCCTCCTCATCAGGAACCTTTCTCTACCACTTGTTACTTTCCCTAACAAGCAGGTCTCTCTCCCCACACTAGTCACATGCAAGAAGCATTGCCAAAACCCGGGCAGGGACTTAAATAGACCCTGCTGACCCAAGATGGCCACTGAGGGTGTAGCCAACAGGAATGTTACTTCACTGATGCAGGAAAGGATAGAGAAATGGTGTTTCCCTTGGACTTCCTCTCCAGACTGTGGTACCAATCTGATTGAGTGGCCTCCTACAGTGGAGTGCCTACATGTTAATCCCTAATTGACATTCACTTTCCATCCTGTGATGTAAAAATGTAAATTTTACCAGAGAAAAATATATGATCTTTAGAGAAGTATATGTTGAAAATGAACAATAAAAATTCTGAATTACTGAAAGTGTACTGAATATGAGATAAAAGAATAAACCATCTTTATTAGATCAGCTACACTTGCCTCATATAGATTTGATATTTTTCACACTGAAGTTACTAATATTTAATTCTTTGCTCTGTAGTGTAAATCGGTCTCAGTCGATGTTTCTATTCTTCCCTTCTTTGTTCTGTAGTGTAAATCGGTCTCAGTCGATGTTTCTATTCTTCCGTTCTTTGTTCTGTAGTGTAAATCGGTCTCAGTCGATGTTTCTATTCTTCCCTTCTTTGTTCTGTAGAGTAAATCGGTCTCAGTCGATGTTTCTATTCTTCCCTTCTTTGTTCTGTAGTGTAAATCGGTCTCAGTCGATGTGTATAAAGTTCTGGTGATTGTGTCTCCTCCTGGGCAGATCTGCCGGTGACTGAGAGGATCTGCTGTGTGCCATGAGATGTTCTCCTCTCTTCTGGGTCTGTTACCTGCTGATCCTCATCCTTCCCATCACATCCTATGGAGAAGTATTGACCCGGAGATCAGCATCTCCTTGTAGACTTGCTATGAACATGCCATTGTTTGATTATGAATATTACCGGAAGGGAGACGTCATTGTCGGAGGATTAGTCTCTGCTCACATATCAAACAATATAATGATATGGATTTTGGAAGTATGGATTTGAATGGTTTGCCTACAAGCATTTCTTATTGTGTAGAGTAAGTCTCTTTTTACCATCTTTGTTTCTCTCTGTATAAATATAATGTTTAGGTCTTCAATTTCACTTCATTATTTTTATGAAAATGTACAAATTTTTCTACTGATGATTTATATATTTTCTCATGATTAGATTCCAGTCTGTGTTTCACCAATATACAAATAATTCATGGGATTTCCATCCTATTTTGTCTTCAGGCCATGCTGTGCTCTCTGATAAATAGTCACGTCACGTCCTTATAGACGGCTCCTGAGGA